TAATAACACAACTTATTATCCTTACTTTGCATCAAAAACCAGTTCATAAAAATACAATATAGATACATGTGTAATATTTTTTTTGTCTGACAAAATTGATAAAAATTGCATATTCGGACTTCATGTTATTATTTTAATTATAATTGTGATGAATTTATTTCTCATTTTTAAATAAATGAAATAATTAAATCTTTTCTCTCGCATTTAAAATTTATTTATCTATCTTTTATCTCAAACATTAAAAGACTGCGAAATCAATCTTTTTACACATGATTTTGAACATAATAAAATTTAATAGGAATACAAACACACTGGATAATCGATGATATAAGTGATGATATGAAAATGAGATAAGATGTATTGTTCGTGATTAGACAAGAATGTTCTCTAAATTCTTGATGATATATATAACTGATGAGATAATAATATATTAATGCATTATTTATGATAAATGAATGATACAATCGATGATACAACTTCCGAAATAATAAAATATTAATGCATTGTTCATGATAAATCATCAAATGATTAAAGCGAAAAAAGTTCTCTTTTTGACAAGAAAAAATGGATGTGTGATTATGCATTATAACTGACGGAGATAATAAAATATGAAATTAGTTCGCAAGTGTGAATGCTCTCTTCCTTCTAAATTATAAAAAATGAACAATAAAGATATTTTTTTTACGCCAGATATTTTATTACAAATATTCATTTTGCTAAATCACACATTACTAAGATTCATTTAATTATAATTGAGTTAAATGATTGACCGACTTAGCGCTTATCGCGACATTATATAAATCGACCGACTAATCGAAATTTTTTTAAATAGTAAAAAAAAGGGGTGAAACTTTTTGGCTTATCGAGTTTACGTTATCTATTATTATTTATATTATTGTTAGTATGCGTTATTATCAATATATTTTATTATTTACCAATTAAATGCTGCAGCTTTCCCGGAAAGTTCTAAGATATTATTATTGATAATTAATTATTTAATTGTAATTTAATAAGCTTTCTTTAATTAATAAAGAGTAATTCGTATTTTTACAA